CCCCATTCCCATCCCAATGTTCCCCATTCCCATCCCAGGTGCCCATTCCCATCCCAGGTGCCCCATTCCCATCCCAGGTACCCCATTCCCATCCCAGGTGCCCATTCCCATCCCAATGTGCCCATTCCCATCCCAAGTGCCCCATTCCCATCCCAAGTGCCCCATTCCCATCCCAATGTTCCCCATTCCCATCCCAGGTGCCCCATTCCCATCCCAATGTTCCCCATTCCCGTGCCAGCCCCTCACCAGGTGCCGGATGCCGTTCCAGGTGTGGTAGGAGAGCGGGAATGCCAGCAGGAACTTGGCAGAGCAGAGCAGGGCGGGGCCGAGGCTCAGGGCCCTCACCTGGGCCAGGTAATGGGGGAAGGACTCCGGGAGCAGGAGGGCGGCCAGGCCGAACAGGGACACGCCTGGGGGACACCTGGGGGTCACCCCCTGCCCTGGCACCCCCCGGACACCCCCTGGGGTCTCATTGTGGTGACACAGCCCAGGCCACCCCCTGGATCTGCCAGGACCCAAACAGGGTTGGTCCCAACCCTCCAAGGACCCCCAGTGTCCCCATTTCAGTGACACAGCCCAGGCCACCCCCTGGATCTGCCAGGACCCAAACAGGGCTGGCCCTGGCCCTGACCCCCCTCTAAGGACTCCCAAACCCCTGTCCCAGGGATGTCCTGCTGTGTCCCATCATGTCCCAGGGGTGTCCCACCATGTCCCAGGAGTGTCCTGGGGTGTCCCAGCATGTCCCAGGGATGTCCTGGGGTATCCCATCATGTCCCTGGAGTGTCCCATCATGTCCCAGGGATGTCCCAGGGGTGTCCCATCATGTCCCAGGGATGTCCCACGGGTGTCCCACCATGTCCCAGGAGTGTCCTGGGGTGTCCCACCATGTCCCAGGGATGTCCCACCATGTCCCAGGGGTGTCCTGGGTTGTCCTGGGAGTATCCCAAGGGTATCCCACCATGTCCCAGGGGTGTCCCCTCGTGCCCCACCCCACCCCAAACACCCACCCAGGCTGAGGGCGATGCCGGTGCCGCGGTGGGTGATGGACATGGCCATGGGCAGGGACCACCTGGAAGGGGAAACACAGAGTTATCCCAGAAACACAGATATTGGGGTGCCCTGGGTGCCCAGGGGGGGTGCCCAGGTGATTTAGGGGTGCCAAGGTGATGCTGGGGTGCCCAGGTGGTGTTGGAGTGCCCAGGTAATGTTGGGGTGCCCAGGTGGTGTTGGGGTGCCCAGGTGATTTAGGGATGCCCAGAGGTGCCCCAGGATGATTTAGGGGTGCCCAGGTGATGTTGGGGTGCCCAGGTGATTTAGGGATGCCCAGAGGTGCCCCAGGATGATTTAGGGGTGCCCAGGTGATGTTGGGGTGCCCAGGTGAGGTGCCCAGGTGGTGTTGGGGTGCCCAGGTGATTTAGGGGTGCCCAGAGGTGCCCCAGGATGATTTAGGGGTGCC